CACATGTGGACGGAGGAAGACAGAGATCTGATTGAACAGTTGCGGTCGCAAATGTCCAAGGGACCCGGCTATAACGAATTCTTGGAATCCAGGAATAGCCAGCTCACCATGCGCGAGCAGCTAACACACTACACGTACATCACGAAACAATTGGAGGAGCATACCCGTGGAGGGTTGAACGTTAAGAAGGTCTGTATTGGATCCTCCGCTTCTCGTGAATCGTGTTCACTTTACCTCGTTGTAGATGCATGTCATGGGCGTTTTCAATTTACCTGAATCGTGGGCGGATATGGCGCAGGAGACCCTCCAGCTATTCTCGCTTTATGGTCCTGGGGGCTCCGAGTTTGAAGATCGTAGAATCATCGACATGATGGATGAGGTTCCTCCCGTTACAGCAAAGATACAGGCGTCCAAGTTTTTGGACCGCCTGCGTCAACTTCGCGACCAAGATGATTATTGAGTAGTTGGTGTTCGTGTTTTCCCCCTGGATCCGGCGAGTCTGTGCCACTTGCATGTATACATATAGTGTTTTACTCGGTAATCACCCTCGTCTCGATTTTTCTTGTCACTCTGTTGTCAGTTTATGAAAATTGGTCATGTGACGCATTACACACTTGTTCAGTGATCGCGACGTTAGGCACGAGAAACTGACACCAGGATTGCGAGAAGCTGGACCTGGAGCAGCGAAACACGCAGGACGCACGCTCGATTTATTTGGGATGAGGGTACTATACCCCGCTGAATATGATATCTCTGGCCTTTCCGAGGAACAACTCTCACTGAAGATTGCACGGCATTCGCCTTGTTCATCATGCCCTTGCTCAGGTTTACGTCCTCCCATAGGCGTAGAAGTCTCTACAGACGACTCCTTATTGTCAGATCAAATGGAATTTGCCTACCTGAGTGAGTGCCAGTGCGGCCACGATGTGCCTTCACACGGTGCGGACGTCTCGGTCCTGGGCAGGCCGGAGTACCAGCGGCGTGGCCGTGTGGCCATCAGGATAGATGAACTACTACAGGTGTGTTGAGGGTGCCGTCGAACCTCGTTACCTTCTTACTGAATTGGATGGCGAATCTAGGTGCAGTTTGCGCTTGAGGCAGTTGGAAAACACCGAACTAACGGCCACCTCCCGCCGCCTTTTATATAGGGTGCTGGCAGGCTAGTGGACTTCAATTTTTTGGACGGGGATGTCATGTCCCTACGCCGTCAGATGTCGTTGCCCCGAGCCTCATCTCCGGACGATATCTCCACAGCTAGTACGCCCAGCTCGTCAGGAACCAAGCTCGATAGTCGTTAGCTAACTCCCTCTGACTAGGTCCATCTACGGAGAAACGCTCTTTATCTGTCGACTCCATGTCATTTAGTGATCATGACCGGGAGCCACCCCAGAAGCGACAAAAGATGATGGAGTTCACTTTCGAAGATATGCAGGAAGACGAAGACGACGACGACGATGATGGCAACGAACCACTGGCTTCGCAGGTTGGCCCATCGCGCCAACCGCTTTCGGGCCGCCGAACGACAAAAGGCCACAAAACTCAAGCCGGAACCGCGCCCGCGTCGATACCCCCACTAACAGATCTCGCGCTCGCCGAAATGAACGGGCAGACTACGCACGAGGAACCTCGGATAAAGCTGGAAGACAAGATGGATGAGGGACAGTTAAATCGGCTTGCGACAGGCGTGACGGTCGACACTGACACAGCCGCCGCAACGGTGCGTACCATTGCAACAACTCAATGTGGCGTTCTGTATTCTCAAACTTAATGAAACAGCCCTCGTGGGTGAAACCTGAGAAAGCATCGTGGGTTGAACTCCGGAGAGGTGTGATCGATGTCGTACCTGTCGAAAACGATGGTGAACCGAGGTCGATGATCATTCTCACTGGCCTCAAAACGCTGTTTCAGAAACAATTACCGAAAATGCCCAGAGAATACATTGCGCGGCTCGTGTACGACTCCAACTCGAGGAGCCTCGCTATCATCAAGCATGGGTATGTGGTTGTCGGTGGGATCTGCTTTCGCCCATTCCCGCATCGGAAATTCGTGGAAATAGTGTTCTTTGCGACGAACTCTGCAGACCAAGAAAAGGTGATGAATTTCACCAACGCTTATTCTATTACAAGCGCCATTGCTGAATATCTGCGTACAAGGGTTACGGCGGTATGCTCATGGATCATTTCAAACACCACATTCGGACCGCCTACCCGACCATGATGCACTTCCTCACCTATGCCGACAATTACGCAGTCGGGTACTTCAGGAAACAGGGGTTCACCAAAGAGATCACATTATCGCGATCGGTCTGGGCAGGTTACATCAAGGATTACGAAGGAGGGACGATTATGGAATGTGTCCTGTTACCGAAAGTTAACTACCTGGAAATCCGGGATACGGTGGCTAAGCAACGGGATGCTGTGCTGAAGATGGTCCGGGAGGTTTCAAAGTCCCACAGGGTGTATCCCGGGATCCAGCGGTTCCAGACCACGAACGACGGAGGGTTCAAGATTGATTATCGTGATATCCCTGGACTCGGTGCGCGGCTTATTCTTCGACCATTTCCAATGTCTGACAGTCCTGGCCGCCGTAACAGCGGAAAGTGGTTGGACGCCTGATCAAAATGGAGTGTATGTCATTCCCGAAATTTACCCCATTGAGGAGCTTACACTCCCTCCCTAGCACTTGCTCACAGCACAAGAATCCTGAACGTGGCACCATGGAGCGCTTGCTCTCTGATTTGCGGGGACATTCATCTGCGTGGGCATTCCTGAAACCGGTCAATGGTGAGGAAGTTCCGGATTACTACGAGGTCATCAAAGAACCCATGGGTGCGTTCATAGCACGTATTCGCTTAATCATGCGAGATCTCGCTCACGACCCTTATGAAGACCTTCGCACGATGGAACACAAACTCAACACGAATCAATATCCGAACCTGGAAGCCTTTGTGGACGATGCGCAATTGATGTTCGATAACTGTCGGATATACAATCCGGAGGAGTCGGTCTATGCCCGAAACGCAACGAAGATGGAGAAGATCATGAAGGATCTACTTGCGTCGTACAGTGTAAAACAGGAGGAATCCTGACCGTCCCCTCTCTTCCACTCTGCCTGTGTTCCCCAGTCTCGTGTTCGATGTACATTGTGATACTGGTCGATAGCGCAGAGGTGTATTTATCTTGTACATATAATTTCTCAGTATTTTTAGAGTTCAACGAGCACAAGTAATAAAGCGACCGTTATCCGCCCTTTTTGTTGCTCGGGCTTTTCGGCGCTCAACATCGGACAGCCAAGTTGGGGGCCAATTATCCAGGGGAAGAATTATTGGTCAATTAAAGGCCTGCGGTGTCTACCAATCGAGCACTCATCTTGAAGTGCTCGAGCGATTTAGCGTCCGCTCGTAAGGGGGGCATCAACTGCGACGAGGCTGTGAGTGACTGGATGATGGATTCCCGCCGTTGAGATAATTTAGAGATTCAGGACGTGCTTTGCTCCAACGGCGGCAGAAGCGGCTACGATCCCGAAAGGCCAACTGAGGATGTCCAGCTCTACACGTGAGTCGTCTTCCGGGAGAGGGGCAATATAGACGTTCCTTGCGGTCGAAATGTTTGAGTACATCCAATTCTACCAGCGCCAAGGGTATTGACCCTGAGCGTCCCTCGCATTTTCAGATACATCCTAGCGCCCACTCTATACCGCTCCGTGAGCAGGCATGAACGAGTAGGAATATCGGCATCAGACGCGATTGAAGTGACGCTAGACCCTGGCACTTCCAAGAGTCGTGACGGTCAACGGCTTTGTAATGTGAGTGGGTCAATCCAAAGCGGACCCTGAGGTTGTTCTCAAAATAGAGCCTCTCGGCTTCAAACTCGATGCGATCACTGTAGACACCGTGACCAGCAGTGCCACAGAGTCTCAAGTTCCTCGCTTTGGGGATGGATGAAGGAGGTCAGAAGGACGGACTCGGACAAAGATACTGAGCCATACCTTCTCAACGAGGTCCCTAGTCCGGTACCCCAGGATGGCACAGTGGAGTGATCAAGATCTCTCCCTCAGCTGACTTCGGGTTGAGGTATGGCGAAACATCGTGCAATTCGAAGTGCGCTCATATCCGAAATGTGCTCCTGGAACACGCCGCTCGAACCCTCCTCGTCACCGGTCACCGGTTACGGCGTGCTTGTGACCCCGGCCCCCCAAGCATTCACAGAGATGGTCATTTCTGGTGGGCAATGAACTCATTATCGTATCAACGGTGCCCAGCAAAACGGGGCTCCTGACCCGCAGCAGGACGCTCGGAGTGGAGTATAACTAGGATCTTCACGTTCCTCTTTAGGGAGTAGACAAATGCGGTTGGTTATCTGGTTGTACACTCAGTTTGAAGCACATAAGCGCTCACTGAGTCCGAGGTCTCGGTGCATCTCCAGATTGCTCACCCAAGTATCGACATTCTGCTGGTTCAATTGGAAGAATCACGAAGGTATAGCAAGAAGCTGTTCCTGGCTATCCTTTCTATGGTCATTGTCAGGTGTTGTGATAGTTGCGGTGGAGCTGGGAGGAGCGAATCCGAACGGCGTGGTGAGCGGCGAACATTCAGACGGTCCGTCATATTGAAAAGTCGACATATCGGGGAGTTGTATACATCATGTGTGTGCTGCTCCCGGTTATGGAGCATCTCCTGACCATCGGTAGTTTCGGCCCATCCTATAGTCACTCTGGGTTATCCCGAGATACAAGAACCTCCGAGAGCAGCTGAGCTTGTCGAAATCGGGGGTGGCCTGGCATCTGGCCTCAAGTTCGAAGGGGAGGGTGCCTCTAGAACCTGAAGGCACCAGGCCGAAATGAGGCAAGATAGTGATGACATCCGCTTCTGAGACGATTGGCTGGAATGGTGGGTGAGTCGCGGGGGTAGAACCTTTGGTTTTCTTGCGAATAGAATGGGCAAGAATCGTGAAGAAAATGAAACTGAGGACGACTTTTTCCTTCATTAAATCGAAATACCTGCCCGCGTAGCTCAATTGGCTAGAGCGTCAGACTTTTACGGCTTGTGTTGAAATCTGAAGGCTGCGAGTTCGACCCTCGCCGTGGGCTTTTTTTGCTTGTCTTTACTCATTCATCCACCTCGCATCCACCCCTGACTATGGCCTGGGCTGGGCGGCTCGTCTTCTTTCCTGAGAATTCTTTCAAATCATTTGCGTTCATTGGGCGGTATCGCAGCAGCGTTCTATTGAATGTTTGAGCCTTGCGGTCTCACTCTGCGCCTTATTGGCTACGCGGCCGCCCATTGCGACAAACTGAAGAGCTGCTTTGTCACCCACAGGCATACAAGCTGTTACATCTGATCACCGCCTCTCCTTCTTAGTTTGGTCTGGCGCAGCTCCCTCCGCTGGCGCATAAATCGTGTAAACAACGAGGTATGCAGCGCCATTCGCTCAGTGTCAGATGTCACCAATTTCCGTCCGGAAAACTAGGCGCACATGTGGTTCCGATACCGCACCGTGTTTGAGACGGGGATAATAGACCGTGTGATGTCGACCGCCGCGATCCACTAGCCCCAGAGAACCGTTTGATCTTCACCTTGATGACCGCATCGTCTCATCCAGGATTCGCTGCGAACATTGACCATGGTCGTGGGGGCGGCGTGTCAGTGACCGAGATCACCTCATACCCCTGTCTAACCCCCCCTGTACTGCGCACAGCATATTCGGCCTATTTGTGATCGAGACGACCACTGCTAGTACGTTTCGGAAAGGCCGACGTCATGAAAACAACGCTTGTTTCGCACTCAGGGATCGGTGGGGAGGCCCTGAAACTCACGTCACGAGTGCAATGAGCTGGCCGTCATCCATTTTGATTTCGTTCGGCCGCCCTTCGGACGGTGACATGGTTCTTTCGGAAGTTCTGCTCGTTCCAAATGTATGTCACCGCTTCCGTCATTGTCCTTTCGCCTTCGGAGCGCGCTGACAACTCGGGTCGGCCACGCTTTAGCCGGCAGGGTCCCCATAGGTCACCGTTCTCTCGGTGGGTGCTTCGTTGCGGAGCAGCGCCTGTTGATATGAGGTTATCCGTCGTATGGCTCGCCTGTTTGCATTGCCGCGTCGTACGACTCCGACGGCGTTCCGCTACTGTATTTTGGAGTGGCGAGCCTTTGAAGCATCGACGTCAGCCAGGAGCCTCACTGATCAGCGGTGGTATTCAGGATCTGCGGGTCCGGTAAAACGAGGTCCCGAGATGAAGCGATTAAGTCTCTGGGAGCTGGAGATCGACGATGTGTTGCAAAACGGTGTGCTTAATCATTCTGCGATAATCTGAGAAGTCATCTTGACTGTTTGCTCCTAATCATAGATAAAATCTCGTCGAGGCTTGGCCGATCTGGGTCGTTCCCAGGCCGACCGCGAGGCTTCCAAGAGGGACGCTGAGGAGCAACTGTGTGAATTTCAACCCAGCCGAGGGGGAGGATCACACCGAATCTGGGGGACGGAAATCACACCGTGGGCCGTTTTCCCCGCACTTTTTCAGGAAGTTCCGGTTGGCGTTTTCCAGAAGGCCAGTTGGTGAATATTAATATCGAATTGGTAACCTGAAGCCTGAAGGTCCCATCCTTCGAAATGCATGCGAAATATGGGACACAGGGCCGGGAAATTTTTTCAACCAGATATGGGCACGCAAACCCTCGCTTGACGGGTGCGAAGCGGAGCGAAAACGACGGCGGCTAACGCGCCAGCGCGACAGGACAATAATCAATGGTTTCCGGGAGAGATTGAGACATCTGAGCCCCGGATCTTCAACTGACAGATAGAGTAAAACTTAGTCTTGTTTTACCCACGAACAAGGATTTACAATATCGACGGATCATCGATGACGCAAAGCGGGATAGCGGGCGGCGAGGCTGTGGATTGGTTGCAGCGTCGACCCGGGGCGTTGGGTTGCTATTGGCGGTTGATGCGGTGTGCGACTATCTTAGATCCATCGACCCGAACCGAATAGGACACCGAGGTGATGGGGGACACAGGTGGGAGGCGAACTCCAACCGAAAAATTAAGCATTTAGATGCTACACAAACAGCACAGGGGGGTTATGAAAACAAAGTGGACGCTAGTAGTACATTTCGTGTCTACTGTTAGGGGGGAATATGCTGGCTTGCGGTGAGAACGGTTGCAGAGATGTGGAGGATGATATCGGTGGGTCAATAAAGATGCCTGGCGTGTCCCAACACACTAGGTGTGAGGTTGATGCTAAACAGAGCAATTCGGAGAGCAAGGCTGATGGTGACGATTTGAGGTTGGAAAGCAGGGTTCATCGTAGCGGTCGTGGTCGTCACATAGACTGATAGTTGGTCACTTGCGACGACCGTTGCCAACAGGTCCCGGTCCGTACCATGGGACACACTGGTTGCAGTGACCGTGGTCTATGGAAGTAATTGTTTCTGACTTGTCAGGACCGAGGAACTGGAACACAAAGCCGGATCAATGGTGGGGAGGGAAGCGTAAGAGAACGACGCCTTACAATTTGGCAAGCGCATCCGGGGCATATCTGGGGGTGCTTTATGGAATGACGACAGTAGCGGTTGCCACAGTCGATCTTACGAAGCTGTCTAGTCTATAACGCGAGTTAGATTGATGACTGAATGCAAGAGAGGGGGACTACTGACGATCTGATAATGCTGTTTCGTAACGAACGGAGAGATTCGATTAGAGGCGGATCGGACGAACGGAAGGATGCGCGTCAACGTACTCCGCATCCGAACTTGGTGCCCTCACTATACGACAAAGTCACGTCAGGGATACATTGCGGTCACAGGGGGAGAGGGGGAGTCGAGAGGACACATACGTTTCAAGATTGCACATGATGGGATAGCAGTGTAGAGGGGGAGATGTGGGACGGGAGGTGGGTGGGGTTGTGAGGGTTTTGAGGGGGGACTTATATAGGTCAGGGGAATGCGGCCTACATCTCTTTGTAGGTCTGGGATTCTCGAAACGAATTTCTGGAAAGGGGCGGTGTGAGAACGATCCGGTGGTCGATAAGAAACGAGTGGCGACAGAACAGCATCCGAGCTCCCGTCGTCATGCAATATTTCACTTTCTTTTTTTACTTGAATACACGGAGCTGCGCTATGCTCCAAGTCCGAAACGACAATTGGATGGAATCCACTTACACTTACGCATATATCTCGTCAACAACGGCCTTTCAATATCCAATGTTCCAATTGGGCCATCCTTTGTCGCCGCACGGCTAAGCCCAAGCCAACACAAGCCCCGCGACGGAACGCCTCTCAGGTTCTCACACGTGTCTTCCGGGCTCCGTTGCAACGCGCACGTGCCCCCTGGCCCCTTGATGTCCTCGACTCCCACTACTCGTTCGAGAACGCTCCTCTTCTTATCCTACAGGGACTCTCGCGCGAGCTCCTCTACTTCCCACCATAGATACGCCCTAGACAATGATGGCGATGAGAACGAGCGCCTCATTGACCCCGTGAAAGACCACATTGCCATTGATGTTAGACTGCCTCCGAAATGGTCAGCCCACCTGCAAAGATAATCACCCTCACGATCTACTTACCTCTGATATGCTCGTCTGCCCTCCAGGGTAGACATCTCGGATAAAATTGAGGCCGTCCTAGCCGATACACAACTCAAAAGTACGTACAATACCTGCAATGCCATCCGTTCCCCGTGCTTATCCGCCTTTCCACCCAACTCCCACGTAGTAAATGCTCTCGATAAATTGCACGCAAAGCATGCTCTTCCCGGTTTCACGGACCGAACTGCGGAGGAACGAGAAATTGAAACCATGACCGCAGAAATCACAAGTGTGAATCCTACCTCGTCCCGTTCTCGTGCATTCTTCCCCAGGTCTGCTGACATAGCTTATCACTGGTTAGAGTTTTCATCATTGCCATCGCCTGATTCAGCAAATCGGTTCGGATTCCATTCACTCTTTCCCACCTTCACAGGGTCTTCGGAGTTCGGCTGCAAATAACGTGCAACGAGGCATGGCTGCCAAACTGCAGGGCCTCAGCGCTAGTTTTCGGAAGAAACAGCGCGTATACTTCGAGAGTGCGTCTTCCTCGTTTCGCAACTCTACATCAGAGATTGATCAGTGGCGACGCCTCGTTCCTCTCCTATTCTCCAATAGGGCTCCAAGGTCATGCGATCAAAAATCAAGATCTTCTCATCGCCTCGGGATCGTTATCGCTCAAGGGTCAAGAGGGGTTGTCTGCTGTAGATGATGACCTTCAAGCCGCAGTATGTATCTCCTTTGATCTTCTCTCCGCGTCGCCTAGCGATCAGACGCTCAAAACCATCATCAATTTGATTCCGCATTTCTAGTCGCAGTTACAAGCACAGGATATTCTGCAACCGGACTTGAGGCGGCGTGATCGCGAGCTCACAGAGATAGCTAAATCCATCGCAGACCTCGCCGTATTGTTCAAAGACCTCTCTTCTATGGTCATTGACCAGGGAACTCTACTGGACAGCGTAGAATATAACATCGAGCAAACAGCAGTTCAGATGACCCAGGCGGTTAAGGAGTTGGACGTTGCAACCAGGTGTGCACCCTCCCACGTAATCTTCATGTCAAGAGCTCCTGATCATGAGACCCGCATTGTGCTTCTGCTAATGTTCAGGTACCAGAAAAATACTGGGAGGAGGAGTTGTATTTTCCTGCTTGTGCTTATCATTTTCGGACTGATCGTCGTCCTCATCTTCAAACCCCGACGGCACTCTCCTTCCAGTGTAACACCCCAGCCGCCCTTATCAGGTGATGTACCGGGACCGGGAGAAACAGCAGTTGATAGATTGGCCGATGTCTCCAGGTCAATATGGGCGTTCAGACGAACCACACCCATATAGAGTTCGATTGTACAATGGGGTGTCACACTACCTTCTCAACTGTTGCACAATCTCCTTCCACTACTCCAAGTTAGGTTAGGGCAGGCGTTCTTCGCAGGCCATTCCATACGCATCATGGCATAGAGCACAACGTGGATGTGACTGTTGGATGAATGGAGGAAGCCATTAAGAGCGGTCTTCTGGAATTGGGCCCTCAGTCGTCCTGTGACTCGGGCTACGTTTCCTGTGGCAAAGAGA